ATCAAAGAAAGTACTAGTAAATTAAAAACACACATGACTTTTTATAGAAATTGTATAACCAGAACAACATCAACAGTTTTTTATCTTTACAACAATGTATATCTATCATATGATATAAAACACCTGGAAGAAATAGGAAGGGAATTATTATCAGAAAGGATCTCTTTATACATTTTAGTACATGACTACTCTACGAATGTTTATGCAAGTTCTACTTTTTATAAATAAAATTAAACAAACGAAATGCATATAAACATTTGTTTTCTCCTCTGAATATCATAAGTTCTATTTTGCACTGGATATTTTGTATTTATTTACATATTAGCATACTGAGTCTTTTTAAATTATTATTGAAGATTCCCATAAATGCATTTACATCCGCAGTCTACCTATACATATGTTCTGTGTATATGACAGAGCTTCTTCAATTAACTTGATGCAGTTCTTTTCACTAGACATACAATATTCAGTATACCATCAGAGTAGCTTCGTGTCTGCTTAAGTACACAAGCCAAGCCTTTAAAAACGTATCAGGAGACTATTTTCTTCGCAATAAAGGTCTCGTATCGCTAACAATCGAAGGACGACGTCTAACCACGCCTTTAATTTAAACACATCGAATCACGCTTTCCATTCGAGCTACAAATTACTAAATCAACAGAACGTCAGAAGTACATTAAGCTGTTTTCGTACTTAATGTAAACCGGGAATTCTACTCTAACAGAATTTTATTTGCACAAATCCTTGATGGGTTTATGGGTAAATTAGCGAGAGAATTTTCGATGCAATCCAATAGTATGTAAGCTACGGAATGAGCACTATCAAGTTTGCTGCTGCAGACGGTTCTTTGTTCTTCGTACCGCTTTACACTTTGTGTTGGAATTCCAGTAGACGCTTTGGCGAAAGCACACGGTTGCCCTGACAATAACTGAATTGGCACGTATCGCTGTTTAGACCCAACCAGCTGTTTTCCACACACCAAAATCGTGATCTCTCGCAATCGTGTAACAATATTTCATGTCAAAAAGTTCCAATGAAGTAACTTTTTTTATCATTCTAATCTATATATAGTGACGTTTATAAATATTCGTAAACATTTAAGAAATTAATAACTTTTTTAATAACGACTTAACTTTTTGTAAGTATTAGAGAGTTTAGTTTACTATATAATATATGTATAACAATAAATTGAAAACATTTGTTATATATTGAATTTACGAAGAAAAATATTAAAGGATATAATTTTTAACTTTATTATTCGATGTTATATGCATGTATG